GTTTGTTCACATTGAATGCAAATCTAGAATTGATTTGATTGAAATCAAGAACAACCCACAAAAAGAAAAAAGAACAGGATATATCTTGGTTCGTGTGGTTGTTGTTGTCGTTTTTTCCCTTCTGTCTTTACGTGTTTTCGTGTTTACGTGATTTTTTTCTGTTTTTGAATTTAACCAAAATTCATTTGACACATTCATTCATATGAAAATGAAATTGAATTGCTTTCATCAGATTTGATTTGATAATAAAAATCTTTTTTCTTTATTACTTTTATTGAATTGTACTGAATTGTACTTTTGTTGGTTATGTTTTTCACAAGTGTTAATGTCTATGTTTTTTTTTCAGCAATAATTTTTTTCTATTAGACGAATTTGAAATCATTGCTATTTATCATGCATACATAATAATAATAATAATAATAAAAGTTGACAAGGGGAGGGAAAACATAATAATAATAATCATCATCATATTGTTATTCTCGACAATAATATGACAATAATAATGATGATGATCATCATCATCATCATCATATATGCGAATATTATATAATGTCATGATAATAAATATGTACCAATACGAAACAATAATAATAATTCTAATGGAATAAATATGGAATAGGAATTCGTTAGTTTTCTATTGAATATTTCTTTTAATTAACTAAAATTATTCAATTGAATGATGTTGTTGTTGTTGTTGTTGTTGTTGAATAAATATGTTGTGAAAATAGAAAGAAAAATGTACTAATATTATAGATAATAATAATAAATGTATATGATGTTATTGTTGAATTATTTATCAAACGAAAACCAAATGGTTGATTAAGCCATATATTGGTTATTGATTCAAACTTTTGTTTGTTTGTTTTTTTGGAAGGAGAAGAGAAAAAAGAAAGAAAGAAATTGATAAAAAAAGAGTTGGTTAATTAGATTTTTTGTTTTACCTTTAATAATTTGAATGAAGAAAAAATTTGTTCCCTTTTCTTGTTCTTTTTCTTGTTTTTATGCAATGATAACATGATAAGCGATTTATATTTTAATTGTAATAATTTTTGATTATTATTACAAATTTTTGAACAACATAAAATTAATATTGAAAATGTATTAATCTGTGCAAATGCAATTAAACAATAAAGACATTGATAAACAATTGGTTGTTTAGTCATAAAATATAAGAACAGTACATATGTTGTAACTGTTGTTGACATTGATAATATAACCGTTATAAAACGTGTTAATTGTTTACTTAATTTATCGATTTGTATTTGTAATTGTTGAAATATTTGATAATGAAATTCATGAAAATATATTATTATTTTTATTGGTATTTTATAAATTTTTTGATTATTATTTACAAACAAATGTTTATAATATGATCGTTGTATTATTTTATAAATTGAATTTTGTCGTAAATTTATATAATATAAAATAATGAATATGAATGATGCAATATGATAGAATGCTTAGAAAAAAAAGGGTTGTGATTTTCATTAGAATTGATTTGAAACACACACACAAAAAAAAATCATTCCTACCTGAACAAATATGAAGTGACCAAACATACCAGATTAATAGCCAAAATATTGTCCAAAATATTGATATTTTCCATACAGATTTTAATATTATAAACATAATCATACCGGATAAGAATAACAAACCGATTAATAATATTATCCATCTAGCAATGAAAAATGCTAAATTTTTTATCCATTCAAATCGATTTGAATCCAATTCATTTAGATTACGATATTTTGAATATTGTATTGGTAGAATGAATTCAAATTGATTATAATCAGTTGATGTTGCATAAAATGCATTCAATAATGAATTTATTGTACAGATAATCATTGCAGCGATTAGATATGATAATCCTTCAGCCGGAAACATTTGTAATAGAACATTGAATGTATTGAAATTATTAATCCATTTTGGTTTTATGATCATTATTATCGATGTAAATAAAACCAATAGATTTATTATACCCAACAATAGATTCAGTTTATATGATTTGGATATTTTACCCATTGGTTTTTGTCGTATTAATTCATCATTATAATTAAATAGATAGAATATATGATTATGTACAATATGATAATATTTATTTTGCATAAATTTTTTCCATATATTTATTTCAAATTTTACAATCGAATACATGTTGATCATGATTAGTTGATGATTATGGTTGTTGTGTTGTCTATTGACAATGAAATTCGTTTTGAAAATAATAATCGAAAAGTTTTTTTCTTCCATTTTTCCAAAGAAATATAATGTATTTTTCGCCCATATTCTTGTGTATCATTAGTTTGGATTTATTTTTTATTTTTTCAAAAAGTTCCGCGTGATAAATGTCATAAAATAAATGGCTATTTTGCTATAGGAAATTCTAAGTTTCTAGATTTTTTTTGTATGATATTCTTCACAAAAAAAGTAAAATAGAGTTTTTGTGGTTAAGGTGAGACATTTTTCATCTTTTCTAAAGCAAAAAAAAAGAAAACCATTTTATGAAATAAATGGACTGTGAAACAGAAATATTGTCCCAGAAAAAATATTGATTTTTTTCCAAACTTTCATAAAATTTTTAATAAGTTTTTCGATTTGAAAAATCAATTTGTTTTGTCTATGTCCGTATAATGATCAGAAATTGTCTGTATTCACTTCAATTTGTTTGGAAATAAGAAAGAAAAATGTACTTATATTTATGAATATTGTTACAAATGTATTTGCCTGAATGGTCATATCATTTATCAAACGAAAACCTAATGGTTTATCAAGCAATGTATTTGTTAATGTATTGAACTGGTTGAAAATGAGACAGAAAAAAGGATTATTATTTTGCAACAAAAAAAAATCATTTAAATTTTACCTTGAATAATTGTTGATGAATATTATTCTGAAATTGTATCAATAATAAACATTTTCGTTGTATTTGTAATAAATTTTGATTATTATTATAAATTTTTTTACAACCAATAATTATTATTGATAATGTATTAATCTGTGCCTGTCCAATCATACAATAAAGACATTGATATATAAATAATTGCTTAGTCATAAAGCAAAGATAAATTGTATATGTTGTAACCATTGTTGACATTAAAAATATTATTGTCATATAACGTGTTAATTGTTTATTATTATTATCAATTTCTTTTTGTAATTTTTCAAACATTTTATTAAAATAATAATGATAATTATTATTGATAATTATAGATTGTTTTTGATTTTTAAATTGTTTATTATTATTATAAATTTTTAATAATAAACGATTATATGTTTTTCTGATTGTTTTTAAAAATGATTGTTGTTGTAGATTTAGATAATATTGTACAATGAATATGAATGATGTTATATGTAAAAATGCTATGAAGATAAAAAGTAAAAGTAAAAGTAAAATTAACAAATATAAATAAGAAATTTACAAACAACAAACCTGAACCAGTATAATAAGTCCATAGATATATGAATAAAAGCCAAAATAATGTCCAAAAATAAGATATTCGCCATAATGATTGAAACAATATCATCAAAATTGTACCGATTAAAAATAATAAACTAATCAATGTTATTGTTAATCTTGTTATTGAAAATGATTGTTGTTTGATTGTTTCAAATTGTTTGGAATTTCGATGATTTAAATTCCTCAGTTGTTTATATTGAATTGGTAGAATAAAATGAAATTGTTCATAATAAGATGATGTTGCATAGAATGCATTCAATATAATATTAATTGTACAGATAATTATTGAATTGGATAAATATTTTAAACCTTCAATTGGAAACATTTTCGTATATATTATAAAACCATTATAATTAACAATAAATTTTGGTTGTAATATTGAAAATATTGATATGATTAGTATTAGAATTGATGTAATGGCTAATAATATTTTATTATTAAATGATGATTGATTGATTTTACCCATTGGTTTTTCTCTGTGATTATTGATGAAAAACTTTTGTCGAATCAATTCATCATAATAGAAAAGATATAAAATATGATTATGTATGATACGATAATATTTATTTTTCATAAATTTTTTCCATAAAAAAATTTCAAAATTTAAAACAGAATTCATGATGATCAAGATGGTAGTGATGTGGATTCATTGAATGTTAACATTGGAATTGTTGTGAAAATTTTCCAAAATTCATTGATTTTAAAAATCCAAGAAAAAAAATTAGATCAAAAATTTAACGATTTTTTTCTCTGTCAACAAAAAACTTTTGTTTTAATGTTCAATTTGCATGTTTTAAATGATTTTTGTTTCTTCTGCTGTTTGGTTTTTGAAAAGCATAATTGAAAAAAATTGTGTTCGTTTAAAACAAACAAACAAACAAAAAAAAGTACATTTTTTTCGATTGATTCCATTTTAATGAAAAATGAAATGACACAGATTTTTTTTCAATAAGAATCATGTTTTTTTTTTTGGTGTCGTCATGGTATATTTTTAATATTTCATTTTCGATTTGGTTGTAATGAATGGAAAACACATTTTTTTTTGTTGGTTGGTTTGGTTTGGTTTGATGGGAAAAAATTTGTTTAAAATTCATAAATAACATTTTATTCTAATTAGGTTTATATTTGTAAATATTATCAATGTTAATAAATGTGTGGTGAAATGAGAAAGAAAAATGTACTAATATTAAAGATGATAGTAATGAATGTGTATGATGTAATTGTTATTCCGTTTGTCAAACGAAAGCCTAATGATTGATTTAGCAAAGTATTTGTTATCGAATCAAACTGTAGTTTTTAGGGAAAAAAATATTGAAAAAAATTATTGATTTTTTTGTTTCATTTAAAAGTTTACCTTTAACATTTGTGATGTGGTGAAAATTTTTCCAGAATTTCCATGCATAATAAACAATAACAAAGATTTTTGTTTTAATTTTAACAATTTACGATTAGTACTACAGATTATTGAACAGCCCAAAATTAATGATGCTAATGTTCCAATTATTGCTAATGTTGTACTAAAATAAAGAATTTGATACATGATTGGATGTTTAGTCATAAACAATAAAAATACTAAATATGCTGAATCCATTGTAGTTGTCGATATGATTACCGATATAAAACGTGTTAATTGTTTACTATTTTCATCAATATCTTTCAATAATTGTTCAAACATTTTATGATGATGTTCATAATGTAATTTCAATGGAGAATTTTGATTGATTGATTTTTGATTATACTTAAATCGAATTGATAAATGTTTATATAATCTTTGTATTATTCGTTGAAATGATTTTTGTCGTTGATTTAGATAATATTGATCAATAATTATGAATGATGGTATATGGTAAAATCCTTTTAATAAAATTGATTTGTTTAGGAAAAAATAACAAAAAAAAACATCTTTGTATTATACCTGAAACTGTATGGATTGTCCAGATTTGTATTGTAATTAACCAAAATAATGGCCAAAACAATGATATCTTCCATAATGATTTCAATAATGTCATCATAGTCATACCTAGAAAAAGGAATAAACATGGTGTTATCATCGTAATTCTTGTTATCGAGAATATATAATTTTTCATTAAATCATAATGATCGGAATCAAATTTATTTAGATAACGATATCGAGCATATTTTATAGGTAATAAAAATTGAAGTTGTTTCAAATCGTTTGATGTTGCATAGAATACAGTGAACATTGTATTTATTGTACCAAGATTTATTGCTCCACATAGATATCTTAGTCCATCATCATTCGGAAACATTTGTGATAATATAACAAAATAATTAAAATTATCAATCCATTTTGGTTGAATGATCAACATAAATGATGCTGATCCAACAATAATCGATATTAAACCAACCAATATGATTCGTGAATATGGTCGTGATATTTTCCAATTCAATTTGTTTATTTGATCATCATTATGAATTTTTGCAATTAATTGTTCATAATGAAATAGATAAAAAAAATGATTATGAATATTTCGAAAATATTTATTTTTCATAAATTTTTTCCACATTGCAATCTCAAAATTCAATAAGGAATTCATTTTTTTTGCACCAATGTTTCTGCTTTTGTTGTTCAATCAACACTATTTTGAAATTGTTTGATTTTTTTCAATTTCTTTCTCGTTGTCAATGGAATAAATTTTTTTTATTCAGAAAAAAATAGGAAAAAAAACCATAATAATAATAAACATTATCCGTAACTTCATTTAATCATTCACACTGATTTTATTTATTAAAGTTGAGAAAAATTGAAAATAATAATAATAATAATAAAAATAACATTATCATAAATATATTTGTAAATGCGACACTTTTTCATTTTTGATTTATTCATGTACTGAATTTTATTCACTGAATTTATTACCACCTCTATTTTGAATATTTCATTTTCTTTGAATATTTCAATTTTCTTTTCTCTCAAAATATCCCATAAAGTACGAATCGATTTTTTTATTATGGAATTGATCGATTCGATTCATTCGGTTTATTATATCGGTGAAAAGCAAAGATTTTCTCCCATTTTCATCCTTAAAAACCTGACAAACAATAAAAATCTTCTTCGTTTCCTTTTTTTCCAGTCAAAAAAGTCTTCACCTCCGGTTTTTTTTTCTTCTGAATGGATGTCATTTCATCCGATTGAATATTTATCTATTTGTTTTCAATAATTTTGTTACATTTGCATTTTGTCTGGTGGAAAAAATGTCCTGTGAAAAAACGACAAAGATGACGGAAGGAATTCCATTTAGAATTGAAATTTTTCTTCAAAAACTTAATCCAGATCACGTTCGACATTTTTTTTGAAATGTTTTCTTCCTGTTTCGTTTGTTTGTTTTCGCATCATCAACATGATCACCGACGAAGAAGAAAAAAAAATATTGTTGTTTTCGATAAATATTTTTATCAAAACTTTGAATAAATAAATAAATAAATAATAAGAATCAGTGAAAAGAAAAATTGAAATCGGATCAATGAATTGAATGAATTGAAAAGAAACGAATCAAACAATAACAACAAACATTCAGAAAATACTTTGCACGAATTATTCATTCAGAAAAATTCTTTCTCTTCCTCTTCATTTTTCATTGTATTTTTTGTTATAGAATTTTTGTTTCCGTTTATTCAACGACAGCAAACATTTATAATTATTATTATTTTAATTCACAATGAAAAAAAGAGAATCTTATTTTCATTTACAAATGTTTAAAATGAATATTTATATCACTATTGTGTAAATGTAAATGTAATTCAATTTTTTTTTCAGTTTGGTGATGTGAATAAAAACAAACTTTCATTGGAAAAAATTGCCGGCTTTTCTCTCTTCTCATTTGTAAAATGATCGATCGATTGTAATTTTTTTTTGTAAAAGGATTGATTAGAAGTGGAAATGCAATTGGAAGAAAAAAAAAATCTAATTTAATTATAAAAGTTTTTTGGTTTTTATTTTCATTTTAAATAACTTTTATTTAATTGATATTTGTTGTTGTTCAATAATGATTTGTCGAAAAACTCTTTTCAACAACAACAACAACAACTGGAATAATTTTGAAAAAGTTTTTGGAAAGAAAAAAAAAACAAACAAACAATCAACGAATGAATGAATGAATCGGAATTATCATTAACAACATTACTGCCCAAAAATGTGAATAAAAAGATGATGATGATGATGGGCTTAAATTCCAATCATATTATTTTTATGATTATTATTGGTTTGTGTAGAAACTTTTTTTTTAATCTCGGGAATTTCGGTGTAGAAATAGGAAAATTCTTAAAAGTTTTTTCCCTCTCTCTCTCTCTCTCTCTCTCTCTCTCTCTCTCTCTCTCTCTTGAAATTATATTCCAGATATGGTCAGATTCAAATTTTTTTCCTTCCCTGATGAAAACTTTTTTTCTTTTTCACTATTTATTTATCTATTTACAAAATTCTGACGATGATAATGATCATCATCATTATCGATTTTTTTCATATAAAAAAAAATCCAATTTGACATTTTCAAGCTGAATAAACATTACCAGACAGACCAAACAAACAAAAAAGTTTTATTTCCAATTCAAATATTTTTTTAAAAAAATGAATATATCATGCGCATTGTATTTATTGAATTTATGAAAGAATATGTTTGAAAAACAATTTTAGAATCACTGAATGAATTGAATGTTTTTTTGAATCAAATAATCAATGTGTTTTGGATGTTTGAAATTACCAAAATTATCAAATGTTTTTTTTTGTCCAAACGAAACAAAAAAATGTTAATTAAAAATGGTAAATATTCAAATGGTTTTTCTGTTTATTTATTGAAATGAAATGATAATAATAAAAAAATATGATGATAATGTTGATTATAATTAATATAATGATCCTTTACGTTTATCATATACTTCACGAACTAAATCATTTAATTCTAATGCATCATAACCAATAATTGATTTAAGATCGCATACAAATTTATAAACAAAACGTTTACCATGTACTTTTGCAATCATATCACCATCATAATAATAACGTAATGCTCTTGATAATTTTTCATAATTCATTGTTGGTTTATTTTTACGTTGTCCCCATAATTGTGCAACCATTTCAGGATTACAAAGTTTAAATTCACTTTCTAAACCAGTCCATTGAATGAATTCACGATAATCAGCATCGGTTAATAATTCCAATAAAAATTGCCATAATTGAATTTGACCATTATTACCAGAACGATTACCCGGTGAAACAACTGTCGGTGAATTGACTGAATGATTTTTTAAACCACCAATTAAACGTTTTGGTTGAATTGATTCACGTTTAATTTGTTTTGATGGTCCACTTGTTGGTGTTGATGGCATCATATCACCATCATCTTGATCCATACTATCAGCATTTTCATGTGGTTTTAAAATATCAATAATTTCAATACGTTTTTCATCCGGTTGTATAACCAATTTTATATTAATTAATTGTGTTTGTTGTCGTGCACCTTCAACCAATTTACATTGTGATATGATTGATGTTATACCTTCTAATTTTAGACCTTGTAAAAAGAAATCAAATTCATCTAGATTGATATTTTGATCAACAATACGATTTGTTTTAAGACATTCTAATACTTGTACAGTGGTTGCTTCAATATCAATACCATCAATTGTTATAATACGACGTTCATCATCATCATCATCATATTCTTCTTCTTCGGAATTCATAAAATCTTCTAATGTTTCCATATTCATTGAATCATAATCAATTTTAGGCATATTTTTATGTTAATAATATAAAAACCGTTATTTCGATTTTTCAATAAAAAAAAACAATAACCAATCAGCCAAATAAAAAAGCCAATATTTTTGTTGTTGTTTCCGTCCGATGCAATAAATCTGTCTGATAAAGAAACAGAAAAAAAAACAAATGACAGTTGCAAAAACAATATGAATAAAAGAAACAAACTGTGGAAAAAAATTGTCAATTTATCGTTATCATCATTTGATTTAATGTGGTAAATAAAAAAATTTTCAAAAAAATGGAAAAAGAAAACAATTTTCCAAAATGGAAAAAAAACAATGTGAGAATTATGTGTGTGTGTTTTTGGGTGCTCATTTGTTATTCGGTTGTAGTGGCACACAAAACAGTATCTGCAACCACACACATGTGCATTTTTATTTATAAAAAAAAAAATAAAACCGTACATAGAGTACGTGATGAAAAAAAATGGAAAAAAAAATTCAAAATTCAAAAATTTTTGCTGATGCGACAAGAATTGGTTAATTCAAGATTTCCAAAATTGAAATGGCTATTTGATTCGTTTTTTTTCTTTCGAAGGGGAAAATGGAAAAGTTTTCAATGTTTTATCATTTATCAACGTTGAAAATAACTTTTAACTTACTTTTTTCTATCTAAAAATCAAAGCAAATCATCGATTCAAGTGAAATAAAATGAATGAATGATGATGATGATGATTTCTCAAATTTTGACCATCCAAAACAACCTTTACAATGATTTTCGATCGGGTACTTTTTTTCGAAATGACGGATGTTGTTGTTGGTTGTTGTTGTTTGTATGGCAAGTCGGAAACTGAATTCTTTGCTTCTAATTGTAAAAACAACAACGACTCAGCAGCCACCATCATAATGTTTGTTTTCCTTTAACGGTTTTCCTTGTTGTCATTCCATGTTTTCTTTTTCCTGCCACTACTATTTATCGTTTCGAAATTAATGTTCCTAGCATAATGATAGTAGTGGTAAGAATGGTGCGGAACAACTATATAGACAGGAAATAAACAAACAAACAAACATAAATGTCATCTTTTGATGTTAAAATAGACGCCAAAAGTGTTTGTTTCCGATTCTTTTTAGCTAAATCAAGATTCGGTCAGTTTTTTTTTGTGATGACCCACTTCATCCATGGTCATTTTCTATTTTTCCCAACAACAACAACAAAAAAGAATCAAAATACGAAAAAGAATCAAAATATGAAAATCAACTTCCAAAAATCATAACTTATAGAATCTGTGATTTTTTTTAATATGGTAATTCTGTCCATATCATCAATAATAATGATATCAGAGTTTCGTTTCGTTTTTTTCGTTTGAAACTTTTCTGCATAATAAAAATTTCATTTTGCTGGATACCGAAACGATGCCTAAACCGTTATCAAATGTGAATATTGATTTTTTTCCGAATATTTTTCAAGTTTATCATTTTCTTTTTCACTGCAAAATTCTGAATAATGATGATGATGACCAACGACAGTAATCATTTTTCATCGTAGAAACCATATAATTTTACTTTTCTTCTTGGTTCAGAAATTTTCATTGTTTTAAAATTTTTGTATCTTTTTGGATTCTTTCTGCAATGATTCTTTAATGATTTTCAACAAGCAAAAAAAAAAAAAAAAAAAAAAAATGATTTATTCAATCGGAAACGGCAGAAATGCCAGAGAAAAAGAAAA